CTTCTCTTTCTTCTTTAAATAGTAAGGGTAAATTTGGATTTCTCTTGATTTTCAATATTTTAAACATTTTGCCTTTTTTTTTTAATTGGTCAAAGGCCTCTTTGAAAAACTGGCCGGGTCAACCGGCTGTTGGCCACTAATTCCTCCTTGTTGAGGCCGGTTTTTTGAAAATACATTTTTAAATGGTATTTAGACACCATTTCAATCAAATATTTTTTAATAAAATAATATTATTAGTAAATTTAAAACGTTTCTTTATTTTTAACTACAGATTTCATATCAATACACCATTAAAAATATATATTTTTCCCCAAAGTGGGGTTCAAACAAGGCATAATGTTGGGGGCGATGATGAACGAGTGACTCACTAGTAGTATTAGACTATTAGTTTTGATATTTTGTTTGATTATTAGAATTTTAGAACATTTTGTTTTGTACTTTTGTGCTATTTTATATGTTAGGTGAATTTGTGTGAGTAATGCAAAACTTGGAGGAAATAATCATTTTGGGATGAATTGATGAGAAGTTGATGCTGATTTGTGGAACTTGATAATTAAAGGCTAAATTGAAAGAAAGAAATGAATAGTGACGAAAAATGGTGAAATTCAAAGTTTGAGAACTCAGTTGTAACTTTTCAATAGTTAATTAGGATTATAAAATGATAATTGAAGAAAACTAGGAGTCAATGGGATACAATTAAAAATAAAAAAGGAGTAAAATATGGTCAATTTTTTCGCAAATTAATTTTCAAACACACTAGTATATTTCAGATTTTTTGTTGAAAATTAAGACCCATTTTTGACATAGCAAACATTCAAATTGGAAAAAAGTTATTAGGAGTAAAGTTGTAGCCATTTGAGTCGTTTTTTCAACGCATTTTAAATCATTTTAATCGGATATCAGGGGAAAAACTTATGATAAAAATATGAAGTATGCGCAATGCTTAATTTTTACTCGAAATTGGGCGTCACATCACAACTCCTTCAGAATTTTTAACAACAATGCGATGCTGGGCACCACTGACGAGAAAAAAGATTTTTGAATATTTTGGTTTCCTTTTAAATCTCAATCCAACCCTGACTCTTCTAAGACTTCATGATGATATAAATACAACCTAAAGACCATTTTCAACTAGAATTGAATTGGGCAAAATTCAAGAAATCAATAAGGAGACAAAAGCAACTTAGCAAAGAAGATTGATTCAGTCATCTAAAAAGTAGTTTTATTTTTCTTTTCTTCATGTTATTCTCTATAAATTATATAGATTTCATGTTTCATATCATAAACTAAATAATTCTTTTAGGGTATGTCTAGACAAAGCTCGAGGATACGATTTGATTTTGTTTTAGTTATTTTTATGAAAATTTTCAAT